GATTCGCTCGTGTATGTAACAACGTATTTGATTTTAACGAAAGAAATCTCTGTATTACTGAAAAATTATTACACCAGGGTTTTCGATATCACAAATTAGTCAAAACAATTACTAAATTTTATCATCGGTACAAGGACATCATTCGTAAATATAAATCAACATGCTGACATCTTATACGTTCAGGTATTTCACATCCGATCTTTTATGGTAATATTCTATACAAAGCACAAAAATGTCGGCATCCACCTCAAAAGCTAACCAAACCTTTAAACAGACTTATTCAGAAGGGATATCGTTACGATACTGTTGTCAGGTCATTAAAGATGGCATATTTTGGTATTAATATTGATTCACTCATAGGATCTTTGCATCGGAAATCAACACATTTATTCCTAAAACCATTTGTTGGCATGATACGGGTTATGTTCTTCTCATATATTTTATGATGGTATGATACTAAACCCCTAACGGTAGGGATTGTGCTTGATTTTCATATGAAGAAGACATAATCTTTCAATCAGTTTAATTGAGGTCTGTATCATTGTCATTTTGCTTAGTGCCTTTTGTTACCTTTTCTGACCTCGGACTCGGACTTCTTTTAAACTGAGTTTTACTGTGCGTATTGCTGTGTGTTTGTTTATTCTACATTGGCTAGAGGTATAGGTGGAGGGTTGAGATCTCGCAAAACATGTTTAACCCCGCCGCATTTTTGCGCCTGTCCCAAGTCAGGAGCCTCTGGCCTTTGTTAGACTTGGATGTTAATTTTAGTTCATTTATATATTTTGGAGTTTAGTATGACGTCCATTTTCACTGAACTAGTGCTTGTTTTCTGCTCTTTGGTCGGATTGTTGTCTCTTTAACACATTCCCCATTTCCATTCTCAATTTTATCAAACTTCGCTGAAACAGACCAAGAATCAAAGAGCACGAGACTACAGAGGCGGTTAAAGCCTAAAAAGATGTTCGATGTATAATAATAAGATTAAGATAATGACAGGAAATTTTACTCGTCACTGTATAGCTGCTGCAGTTTTAACGATTTTTATACGCCCGTTTACGGGACGTATTATGGTATACCGTTGTCCGTCTGTCCGTCCGTCGTCAACATGTCGGACATCAACTCAAAAACACTTAAACCAATTAGTAGTGTCAAAAGGCCGATTCTACACCACTTGCCATTTTAAGCACAAATTCAGCATAGGAACCCCAACCCTAAAAATAAAATGCAAACGCAATACGTTTCAATTAGCCTAAGGGTAAAAACAAGAATGTCTTTTAGTTTATCACAAAACCCAAACACCTTAGAAGGATGTAATCCTAGGGTAAATACAAATATGTCTTTTACACAAAACCCAAACACCTTAGAAGGATGTAATCCTAGGGTAGATACAAATATGTCTTTTACACAAAACGTCCGAGATACCCCAGCCCCAAACACCTTAGAAGGATGTAATCCTAGGGTAGATACAAATATGTCTTTTACACAAAACGTCCGAGATTCCCCAGCCCCAAACATCTTAGAAGGAAGCATCCCCCAAATTGATATTGTTGATATAGATATGGATCAGTATGAAAAATTCTTTCTGGAAATGGAAGAAATGGAAGATAGTACCCCAACTCCCCAAAAGCAGCAGTGTTGTAGCAACCCCAAAATGGAAGATATGGACGAAAGGACCAAAATTTGTCAGCACTGTGGTACGGAGGTGCGCCAAAATATTGAGAATGACACTGCCGAAGAACCAAAAACTTGCGGCGCTCCGCTGAAGAAAAAGAAGGGGCAGTTTTGAAAGAGTAAACCGGGAAAAGATAGGCTCTGCTGGAGACACAGCAAAGAACCACGCCAGCAGGAAGAGGAAGAGGATACCCCAGTCGGAGGGAAAATTGTGGTGAAAGCCACCATGAAAGAACTCCGAGAAATCGCGAAGAAGGAGGGTCTTAAGGGGTACAGTAGGAAACCAAAGGGGGAATTGATAAAGTTAATTGAGACCAATACCGCCCACAAATTTACTCGCGAAGAGGTCTTTACCAAGAAGGAGCTGAGGACCATTGCCAAAAGACGGGGAATTACCAACTATTCCCGACTAGGGAGAGCTGACCTGACCGAACTGGTGAAGAAGGAAATCGAAAATGCAACCGTCGAAGAGGAAATCAAAATTGTCGACCGACGCAATGCATTGAAAGGTGTATTTGGCACAGTCACCATTGAACCACTCAAGCAGCATGATTTGGAGACGTTTTTCCAGGTAAGTCGCAACACCATCACCAGCACAATCGAAGATGCCCTCACCCAAAAGAAGGGGTTGAAGGTACAGCTAGTGGTGAGCTTGGAATTAGTCAAAACGAACCCCGCGACCGGAGAGAATCTTTACGCTACCCCCTACTTCAGATCATTGATGGTAACAATCACCGAATCAACTGACCTGGACTTTGAGATTGCGGTCATGATAGCGAAGATCAAGGAGAGTATGGTAAACTACATGCGTGAGGGTAGTGGATGGGTATTTAATCACATCAAGAAACTTGAAATCCACCTGAACAAATTTAAGGCACTCGCCGGCAGCTCCTACATACCACTCCCATCGGAGCTTGCCAGGAGGAAAGCAATCATCAATGTACAAAACAGGGATGATCACTGCTTTCAATGGGCAGTGTTGGCGGCCCTGCATGAAGACGAGGTGGATAAGAATCATGCTTACCGCCTGAAGCAATACAAAAAGTGGGAAAACGAGCTCAACTTTTAACGACATTGAGTTCCCGGTTTCCCTCAAGGCGATCGACAAATTCGAAACCCGGAATACAAACCTCAACATCAACGTCTTTGGCTTCGATGGTGTGAAGAAAGGTGAAGATGAAGAGGAGGATCTCCAACTATATCCCCTGAGAATATCGAAGAACACCGGCGCGCAACATGTAGACCTCCTGTTCCTGACCGGCACCGACAAACAGCACTACTGCTGGATCAAGAGCATATCACGACTCTTGAGCTCACAAGTCACAGAGCATGGTCATGAGCTCTTCTTCTGCCGCAGGTGTCTGAGCCACTTTTCCAGAGAGGACATCTTGGACGAGCATATGGAATACTGCGGTCAGAAGAAGGCGGTCAAAATCGAGATGCCGGAGGAAGGAACCTCCGTCGGCTTCCAAAGCCACAAACGTCAGATGACGGTTCCATTCACCATCTACGCAGACTTTGAGTGCTTCACTGAAAAGATGAACACCTGTCAGCCTAATCCATCGAGAGCCTACACAAAGGCGTACCAGCTACACCGACCATCAGGGTTCTGCTACCGTGTGAAATACGTCCACGGTGACTACAAAGATTCAGTCGTCTACTGTGGGGAGGATGCGGCCAAGCACTTTGTCGAATGCATGGAGAAGGAAGTCCGGGAAATTGGTAAAATCTATGGTAAAGAGCTGACGATGGTGATGACCGACGCCGACAAGGAGAGTTTTACAGCGAGCACACACTGTCATATTTGCGATGAGGCATTGAATGGGGATAAGGTTCGAGATCACGACCACCTCACGGGTAAGTATCGCGGTGCAGCGCACAGTGAGTGCAACCTAGCATTCAAACTTCCCAACTTCGTTCCCATCGTGTTTCACAATCTCAGCAAGTATGACGCCCATATGTTTGTGAAGGAATTAGGATTTGGGGAAGGGAAGCTCAACTGCATCCCAAGCACAGACGAAACCTACATCAGCTTCTCAAAGAAGGTGGATAAGACCCTGGAGATGAGGTTCATCGACTCGTGTAGGTTTATGCCCAACTCCCTCGAAACCTTGGCGGAAAATCTTACGATGGGTAAGTTCAAGGCAACACAGAAATGCTTCGGCGAACGCTCAGAACTGATGATCAGGAAGGGAGTGTACCCCTACGATTACATGGATGGGCCTACCAAGCTGGAGGAAACACAACTACCACCCAAGGAGGAGTTCTTCAACAAACTCAACGGCACAGATATTAGTGACGATGACTATGAGCACGCCCAGCGGATGTTCAAGGAATTCAGCTGCCAGACGATGCGGGACTATCACAATCTCTACCTGGAAAGTGATGTAGCCATACTGGAGGATGTCTTCGAGAATTTTAGGGATATCTGTATGGTAAACTATAAGCTCGATCAAGCACACTACTTCACAGCCCCCGGACTCGCTTACGACGCGGCGCTAAAATTCACCAGGGTCCGACTGGAACTCCTCTCAGATCCAGACATGCTGATGATGTTTGAGAATGCGACTAGGGGAGGCGTGGCTATGATCTCCCACCGATATGGAAAGGCCAACAATCCATACATGACCAACTACGATGCGGCACAACCCATCAAGTACCTGGCCTACCTGGACGCCAACAACCTGTACGGCTGGACCATGCACTGAAAACCTAAATTAGTCAATTTGACCAATTTAATTGGTCATTTTGACTGTCCTCTAGATGACAATGCATTTTAATCATTTTGACTATGCTCTTAGTCGTTTGACTAGATGGTTAGTCACATTTGACTGAGAAGGCTGGTATTTATGACTATGTTAGGAAGTCAAAATGACTATATGTTATACTCGTTATGACGAATTGGATTGTTCAATTGACTATGCACATTTGTCAGTTTGACAATTGAATGCAGTCCATATGACTTATTGAAATGGTCGAAAATGACCATGTTGGTTAGTCAACATGATTACTGTGAATAGTCACGACTGTTAGACTGTTATTTTAATTTGTGTTGTGTTTTTTGTTCTACCATTTTACTTTGTGTGTGTTTCCATCCGTTTTGTACTTTTATGTTTCATTTCTTCTGTTATTCTACTTTATGTTGTTTCTCTTCCATAGGATTGACAAATACATTTGGAATATAATATCATTAAAAATACCACAGCAGCAATACTAACAATGACAACAGTATAGGACCACAAAGTGCTCAATGTTCAAAACCTTCCTATATCTTAAGTTTCCATGTGTAACCATTACTCAGTGACATATATTAAAGTCTAAAAATCAAATAAAGAAAATATATTTATTATAAACTCATTGTTACATACATTATTATATCCCAACTTCAATATATATTTTATACATTTTCAGTATGTCAGAATTTGAAGTGTTTATTTTAGATATTTTGTCGGTATCAACTCTGCATGTGTCAGTGTAATATTCTCTCTGGTAAAAAATCTCTCAGCTGTGTTCATACAAATATAGCAATGTCTTCATTTGCTGAAAAATAAAATTATTTCTTTTTAAAAGCTAAAATATTACAATAAACAAGTATATTAGTCATGTTAAAAGTTAAAAGAATAAAACAAATTTTAAAATCTTTGATCTAGTGATTTAGTCACTCATCTTATACTATTATTTTGTAATGTAAGCACCGGGATCTTGACAGCCAACCATCTTATACCACAACATTGTAATGTAAGCACCAGGATCTTGACAGCCACCCATCTTATACCACAACATTGTAATGTAAGCACCGGGATCTTGACAGCCACCCATCTTATACCACAACATTGTAATGTAAGCACCGGGATCTTGACAGCCACCCATCTTATACCACAACATTGTAATGTAAGCACCGGGATCTTGACAGCCACCCATCTTCTACCACAACATTGTGATGTAAGCACCAGGATCTTGACAGCCACCCATCTTATAACACAACATTGTAATGTAAGCACCAGGATCTTGACATCCACCCATCCTATATTACAGCATTGTAATGTAAGCACCAGGATCTTGACAGCCAACCTGAGGTTTTTTTTAATTTTTGTTGTGAATATCGATTGCAGTGTTAAATTTATTTTCAACAGTTTTTGGTCAGGTGAAAAAAAGATATCGCTAAATACTCTTTTCAATCGACAATACGTTGTATGTGTATCAGAATTGATATCCCGTATACATATCTCCCCCTTTTTTATTGTCATTACGTCAACATGTGCCGATTTTACATTCATTACACTTTTTCTTAAATTTAATTTTTGTAAGTTATAATTTAAACAAATATACATAATACTTACTTTAAACAATTGGTTTAATTGACAAAATGACAGTTTCATGCCTCCTGGTTTGTTTACATCTACACGATCTAGAGAACAAAGGGAACGCGAAAGAGTGCGCGTGAAAACTGATACTCTACACCACGTGGTGCTGTGACCACTAACATAGTCAAATTGACCGTGCAGGTAGTCACAATGACATGATGGGTAGTCATATATGCTGTTGACTACCTTTCGGCTAATATTTGACTAAATGAATAGTCATAGTGACTAATTTAAATTTTCAGTGTGGCAGAACCCTTACCAACGGGAGATTTTGAATGGATGAAGCCGGAGGAGATCGACCAAATCCTAGACTACCCAGACGATCACGAGCATGGGGCTATGGTGGAATGTGACCTAGAGTATCCCCAAGAGCTCCACGATGATCACAACGACTACCCTCTGGCGCCGGAAAATGGAGATTGATGGGGTGCACAAACTGACACCTCATCTGAACAAGCGCGTCAAGTACACCCTCCACCATCGAAACCTCAAGAAGTACATGGCGCGGGGGATAAAGCTCACCAAGGTCCATCGCATCATTGGATTCAGACAATCAGCATGGCTCAAACCATACATCGACAAAAACACCGGACCCAGGGCCGTGGCCAAGAACGATGCCGAAAAGGATTTCTTCAAGCTGATGAATAATTCAGTGTTTGGCAAAACCATGGAGAACATCCGCAAGAGGATCGATGTCCGACTGGTCACCACAGAGAAACAAGCACTGAAGCTTGTAGCTAAACCTAACTTCGATCGAAGGGTTGTGTTTCACGAGAACCTGGCAGCCGTCCACATGAAGATGACCAAGCTCAAGTTCGACAAACCCATCTACTTGGGGGCGTGCATCCTAGACATCTCAAAGATCCTGATGTACGACTTCCACTACGATTTCATGCGGAAGACACACGGCGACAACGCGCGCCTACTATTCACAGACACTGACAGTTTGGCCTATGAGATCACAACAGCTGATTTCTACAAGGACATTACCCCCCACATCCAGGAGAAATCGACAACTCAAACTACCCGGCCGGTCACTCATCTGGAATTCCAGTCGGTGTGAACAAGAAGGTGATCGGTATGTTCAAGGACGAGTGTGGTGGTAAGAGTTTGACTGAATTCGTGGGGCTTCGACCTAAGTTATACTCATACAAGATGGATAATGGTGGCACCACCAAGAGAGCAAAGGGGGTCAAGAGGAATGTGATTGAACGTAACATCACATTCGATGAGTATAAGAGATGTCTGCACACCCAACAAGAGATTTACAAATCGATGAATATTTTCCGTAGTCACCGCCATCAGATCTACACCCAGGAAATTAATAAAGTCGCTCTCTCGGCTAAAGATACCAAGCGACACATTCTCCCCGACGGAATTAGCACCCTAGCCCATGGACACTACAAAATAAATGGATAAAATCAGAATTCACAGCATAATTCTCCCCCACAAGCCGCTGTCGAATAAGGAATTGGATAGAGCCGTCACAGCCCTAGGAATCCCAAGTTTCAGAGGGGTGTTCATGCGAGATACCCTACCACCCAGCCCGCGCCGCATTGAGTGTGGAATCTTGAATCACGATAGCTGGGAAGGTCCTGGAACGCATTGGACTTGCTGGTATAAACGTGGGCTGGTAAAGTATTACTTTGACTCTTGACGAGATGGTAGACTACTTACAGCCTGAAATTCGATATAGCACCGATGAATTACAGCAGCGAGGCTCGGTGGTGTGTGGTCACTTTTGCCTATTCGTGTTGAAAGTGTTGGCGACTGGAAAATCGCTGGAAGATACAATCTTCTCACTCTATAAATAAATGGATTTGGATATGAACGACAATCGCATTACTAGCCTAGGACATCCGGAGGACAGCTCGGATGCTGTGACAAAAAGGTGGGTGACCCAACAGTTAAAAGATGGTATAAAAGACATCAATGACCTAGAGGCTGCGCTCGAAGCAATCTCGAAAGAGCTCGAGGCGATGAAAAAACACCTGGTATCGAGAAAAAAGTGGCGAAGTGTTTGCCTATGGCCGGCGGTATGATGAGTGGTGTCCTGGATATGCAGGGACACTCGATCGTCAATCTTCCAGAGGGGGTGGCGGCACATGAACCGGTGACCAAAGGATGGTACTAGTATGCAAAGAACTATGTGGATCTAAGCATGGCGGTTCAAGAGAAAATCAACACCATCGAACAGAAGGTGAAGTCTTATCACACGACGGACAGGAGCCGGCGCGAATTGGATTCCATATCTGAGGAGGACCGGCGCTTCGACAGAATCAAGGCGGAACTCATGAAATTATAAGGTAACACAGCAGAGTTTTCCTGTCCTATGAATAAGGACAAGAAAACTTGACTAGTCTATTGCACATCTGTGGCTTTGACCCAAGAGTTGAATTCCGTGGGATACCCCCTCCACTTAACGTAAAGCTCTTTCACCCCTCCCCCGGGTTCTCCGGCGCAAGACCTTCTCGATGCGGTAGACGTCCTGATCAGTCTTTTGAAGTTCGGGCTCATAGAAGGAACCCTGAATTTCCTCGCCGCTGAAATCCTTGAGGCGATAGGTGGGCGGCTGAGTGTTCAACACTAGGGAAATGGTGAATACTTCCTCGGTCCAGCGGGGTGTGTATCCCTTCTCGAATGTACCTTTCTTCTTTGTGATTCGGACTGTCGCCAGCACGAAATCGCGGTGGTTTCATGGGAGGTATGCCCTGGTAAAGGTTCCAATACACCTTGTTTTCATGCTCCTTGTGACTTGCGGCGACAGGGGTCATCTTGATGGAGCGGTGCTTGGTGGTATTGTACTGGCGAACAAGATTGTCCAGGACATCGATATAGGTGCGCGTGGAGTTGGCTGAAAAGTATTTGAACATCTTCTCTTTCATGGTGCGATTCCATCGCTCAACCACACTCGACTTCTCTTCGTTCTCGGTGGAGTAGAGCTCAATATCATGCTTTTGGAGCAACTGTTTTACATCCTTGTTGTAAAAACTGAGTGCCTTTGTCTGTCCAAAGCTTCTTGGGCACACGCTCCTTGAACACCGCTTGAAAGGCATCCCGCACCGTCACCCCCTTCTTGTTTCTGAGCGGTATCAACCAACCATATTTGGAGAAGACATCGATGATGCTCAGGATGAACTTATTTCCCTTGTTGTCCCTGGAAAAGGCACTCATATCAACAAGGTCGGCCGCCCAGGTCTCATCCACACCACCCACTACCACACGGCGTTTTTGAAACTTACGTCGAACAGGTTTGTGCAACTCCTCAGCTAAATCATCGGTCCAGCGAACTTTTTTTTGATACCCAGACCGAATCGAGCTTTGGTGCCGATGATGGGTCCGACAATGCTGCGGTCCATGCGTTCGCGTGTGGTAGGGTTGGGAATGGTGTTAAGCGAGGCTAGCATAGCTTTGTCACAAATGGAGTTGCGTGCGGTTGTATCCTTGTGCTGGGCATAACAAAGATCGTGGTGATATGCAGCCTGGTCCACTCGATTAATGGGTTTTGACCAAGCCCTCGGGGTGCCATCGGGGAGTAGTCGCTTGCTAAGTTTAGTCCCTGGCCCAGTGAAGTTGTGTCCGGGGAGATGCATTTCCATGGGTAATCCGTTGATTAGTTTGTTCATGAACCCTGCATCGGTTGTAGCAACAAATTGAGACTTCTTGGCACCGCATACCTTGCAGTTGCCAAACTTCCTCCGTCGCCCGTTGCTGGTAATTGTTTCGCCAGGGTTAACTGTGTCCGTCTTCCTACGACATTTCACGCAGAAGATCATCGTTATTTTATTTAAATAAATGAACGTCGAAGACATTTCCTACAGTGCCAACGCCCCTAAGAGGAGCAATCACTACCTCCTTCCGCAGCGGTCGATCAGAGGGTTGATCATTGGGAAGTCGGACTGTGGTAAAACAACGCTGTTGAACAACCTACTCCTGCGCGATGGATGGCTCGACTACGATCGATTGTACGTCTCGAAAAATCACTTCACCAGCCCACTACCAGCTGTTGCAGCAAGCGTTGGGAAAAGGCTTCCCTAAGGAAGATATTCGAGACCTCCTACAGTGCAATAGCAAGTCACCCTACTCGATGATCGATGTGGTCAACGCCTTACAACCACCACGACACCCGAGTGGTATCGACACTTTTTTCTTCGAGCAAGGGAGTGATGTACCAGACCCCCGGGAACTCGATCCCAGCCGCAAGAACCTCATGGTGTTCGACGACTTGATGCTGACCTCACCAAGGAACAGTTCGACACTCTGTGAAAGCATTGCTGGTCCCAACCATATGGATTTGTAACCATCGATCTCACAAGCCCCAAGTCAGCAGGGAAATACCGATGCTAATTAGATGAGTTCTATGAGGTATAAAATAAAGAATGGATCAGTTCGAAGATTTTTTCCTGGAACTGGAGAATGAAGAATATCTGGACACAGAGGAACCCCAACCCTGCAAGTTCGAATGGCCCTGCAAATGTAAATTTGAGTGGAACCCAGTAGATATGATAAGTATGTGTTGGAAATGCGGTCGCACGATCACCCGCCCGATCTATAGCGGTGGAAGTGATTTCGACGCATGGAACTCTGGCCGTCAGTATGGTAAAAAGAAGCGCTTTCCTCAACCCCAATGCCCTACCAAGACGATTCGAGGCCACCAGTGCACAAAGCCATGCCAACCGCGTAAAGACCTATGCCTCAGACACTTGAATCTTACAAAGAAAAAGGGGGCTGCAACGGTTACAGACGATACCCCTAGCGATTGAGAAAGGCGTCTGAACCTTCCCCCAGGCGCGTGGGAGCGTTTTACCTAACGCTTAGGGACATTCACACCAACGCTTAGGGGCGTTCACACCAACGCTATGGGGCGTTCAACAGCGTTCGATCCTATAAATAAATGACGTTTATCAAGATTACCGACCCTAAGCAGCGTGAGGCACTTGCAAAGGAGTTGCATGAAACTAAGCGGAGCATTCAAGCCAGCAACATGCAACACCGCCTTGACAATATTGGACCTTCCTGCTGCAGTGCCAGCCCTCCCTCCTCCACCGCCCGAGTTTGCCGATCCACTACCAATCGCACCACCTACAGACACCGTCCTCGGACCTCGAGCACAGCAGTATTTGCAGCTCAGTATGA